GGCGGCTGCGGCTGGCGCGGCTCGGCACGGCATGGCACGGCAGTGCCGGTGCAGCTCGGCATGGCACGGCACTGCTGGCACAGCTCGGCATGGCATGGCTTGGGTGACATGACATGGCATGGGATGGCACTGCTGGCACAGTTTGCCATGGCATGGCTTGGATGACATGACATGGAATGGGATGGCACTGCTGGCACACCTGTGCATGGCATGGCTTGAGTAACATGACATGGCATGGGATGGCACTGCTGGCACATTTTACCGTGGCATGGCTTGGGTGACATGACATGGCATGGCACAGCATGGCACAGTTTACCATGGCATGGGATGGCACTGCTGGCACACCTGGGCATGGCATGGCTTGGATGACATGATATAGCATGGGATGGCAGTGCTGGCACAGTTTGCCATGGCATGGCTTGGGTGACATGACATGGCATGGGATGGCTCTGCTGGCACAGTTTAACATGGCATGGGATGGCATTGCTGGCACACCTGGGTGTAGCTTGGCTGGAACACCTTAGCAGGGCACAGCACGGCACTGCTGACACATGATGGCACAGCTGGGAATGGCTCAGCTCAGCTCAGCTGGCATGGCATGCCCAGTGTGGCTGATCATGGCATGCCCAGCATGTCTCAGCTGGCACCACACGGCATGGCACCCCTGGCATGGCATGGCTTAGGTGAGATCAGCTTGGCACAGCTCGGCACCCCTGTGCCAGTGGCTCCTGCACCCAAACCTGCACCCGGGGCCTGTGTCCTGCCACCGCCCTGACCCTGCAGCCAGCACCTGTGCCCCATGCCAGTGCCACCCAAGGTGACAAGGCTGACCTTAACTCAGGCTCTCACAAAGTGACAATTCCCTTATGAACCCACAACTCCTTTTTTCCCAGGCATTTTCTCCTTTCTTTGGTTTGCTGAGTCTTAAAAATCTTCAGGTGCCAGCGCAGGCTGCTGTATAACTAATTAACTTCCAACAATTAACTTCCTATTTCTAGTTACCTTTTCCAGACATCCTTGAATTAATTTCACAAACCCCTGGGGCTTCAGTTTTGCAGGGGGGGTGAAAACCAGCCGAGCTCAGGCAGGCTCTGTCCCTGAGGAGCTGAGGCACGTGGATAAATCCTGGAGTGATGTCCTGCATGTCAGGCAGAGGGGGTCTGGTGGGGGTGAGAGCTCCTTCCCTGGCCTTGAGGGGAGATGTGCAATGGGATGGGGGTGTGGAGAGACAGGATAAAATCCTGGGGGCCAGGATGGGATGAAACTGAGGTCCTTTGGCCTGAAGAAAGGTGATGTGGGGCCAGGTGGCCACTCCAGCCCCACCTCTGCCCTCCCTGGGTTTGTGTTTCAGGTCCCTCCTGCCTACGCAGCAAGGGAGAGGGGAAAGGGGGAGAGACAGACACCTCTAATTAATCATATTAACTCCTGACAGATGCTTTATGTTCCAACAATGTTGCTATTATTAAGTTCATGTGCCCACCCCTCTCCAAGCCCGCTGCTCCGGGTTCTGGGAAAAAAGGCTTTGCTGGATTTCCCCAGTGAGCGCTGGCATCGCCCAGCGCAGCCTGACATCCAGTCCCGCTCGTCCAACCCCTATCAATCACACCCAGGGTCAGACCTGTCAATTCCCCCTCTTTGTGAGGCTTTTTTCTTCTTTTTTCCTTTTTTTTTTTTTTTTCCCTTGCTCTCCCAAAGCTGACCGCAAGATTGATTCAATCCGGGCAGCGGGATGTGAGCGGAGAGGCGCTGCCGCTCAAAGGAGCCATTCAAGGAAGGAGGAAACAGAAAAAAAAAGCCTTTCCTCAAAGTCACTCGAGCTGCTGGCCAACAACAACACGGCCCTCACGGAGTAACCCAAGATGGAGTAACCCCAGATCAGGTGGGACGAGTGCGTAAGAGCAGCGGCGATGCCGAGGGCAGGGAGCAGCTGTCTGTCCGGGGCTGTCTGTCCTTCCCTGGACCTCAGGGCATGCCCAAGGCCTGATCCTGCCCTGCTGCTGGCACACAGAGAGCATTCTGGATCAGCTGGTGTTTGCTGGAGCAAAGCAAACCCCCTTCATCAGAGGGGTGTCGTGGGTAATGACGGATCCACGCTGGAGCCCCTCTGGTGCAGGTTGGTTCCTTTGCTCTAAAACCCATGAGGGTCCTGTTTTTATTAAGGAGAACAGTAACCAGAGGGGGAAAAGTTAAACTTCTCTGTTCCATGTCCAGTTCTGCTCCATGACAAGCCTGTCTCTGCTCAGAGATTGCACAAGTTCAAAGAGAAGCAGCGAGACCCCTGCCCAACAAAAATAACACCAGCACCAAAGGAAAAGCAAAATATTTGGAATAGAAGCAAAGCCAAAGAAGAGCAGAAGCCTCGGGGAGCACTTTCACCGATGACTGATGATGTTTTCATCCCTAAGCAGGACTTGCCCCACCTGGGCTGCCATTAAGGAGCTTTGATTTTGCCAAGGACGAGTTCCCATGCAGAAGCCCCAGGACCCTGATGTCTTTGTGACCTGTGAAGCGAGCCTGGGGAAGAGGGAACTGGGTTTTTACCTTCAGGATCTTCCAGTAACTTGGGATGAGTCTGAGCAGGGAGTTTGGTGTCCCAGGCACAGGAATCCTGGGTGCCAGGGGGTGCAGAGCAGGCAGGATGGAGAATTTGGGATAAGACATGAATTTAAATGGCTGGACGGGAACTGGGTTTTTACCTTCAGGATCTTCCAGTAACTTGGGATGAGTCTGAGCAGGGAGTTTGGTGTCCCAGGCACAGGAATCCTGGGTGCCAGGGGGTGCAGAGCAGGCAGGATGGAGAATTTGGGGTAAGATAAGACACAAATTTAAATGGCTGGGCTCTCCTCTGCTGGGCTTGGGCTCTGGAATAAACCTCTCCTGCCTCGCTGCTGCTGGACACAGGTTAAGGGGAGCTGGGGGGTGTGGGGGCCAGGCACCGTGTCCCACCTGTGCAGGGCAGGGAGGGGACACCTGCCCTGAGGGACAGGGAAAAGGGACAGGGCAGAGGGACAGGGAAGAGGGACAGGGAAAAGGGACAGGGCAGGGGGACAGGGAAAAGGGACAGAGCAGGGGGATAGGGAAGAGGAACAGGGCAGGGGGACAGGGTAGAGGGACAGCTTGTGCTGTGGGGCCCTGGACGGGTCCCACCGAGGTTCAGCCACTGTGGGGGTATCTGGGGCTGGCTCCAGCCCCCGCTGCAGGATGAGGGTGCGAGGCACATCCCAAATCCGAGCCTATCTGCCCCCAGTGCCGTTGTACTCCTGCTGTTTGCCAGGTGAATCCTCCCTCGCCCCCCAGCCCCTCCTGCTGCTCCGTGCAACCAAAACCTCTCGAGTCAGCGTTTTCCCTGCCCTGTTCCATCCCAGCCCCTCCACTCCCCACGCAGCACCAGCCCAGGCCTTGCTTTTAGCTGCAGAACAAGTGCATAAAAATGATCTTATTTATTACAGGAGACATGTTTTAAAACAACTGACAAAATTGCAAGATGTAAAACGACAAGCAAGTGCTTTTTCTTTTTTAAGCCCGTATAGACTCCTGGCAATGATAAAAATAGTGTTTTCTTTTTTAAAGTTGGAATTAATCTTTCTTTCCAAAGCAATCATGTAGCAGGAAAAGCAGGAAGACACTTGGATATTAACTGATCCTCGCTGGTGATGGTTAGTTATGGAATGGACTGGCTTTCCTCCGCAGAGCCATTAACGCTGCAGACATTAAAGCACAAAAAGGTGAAGGGTTTTTCCCCCCCCTCCGCTGCTCCCTTGATGTGTGACTAACAGCTGCTTTTCTGTGTGGCAAATCAGTGGGGTCTTCCTGTTGTTGATGTAATGAAGCTGTTTCCTGGTGGGAAATTCTGCGGGATAAATTGCAGAAGGGGGGAGGAGAACATCCCACACTCAGCCAGGAGCTTTGCAGGGAGGGAGCTCAGGAGGTCGGGGCTGGCCCGGGGTCACAGTGACGTCACTGGGCATTTTTGGGGGGTTTTGTTCATCTTCAGAGGGTCTGCACAGCCCTGGGATGGAGCCAGGACACTTTGGGGAGTTCTCTCTGCTGACCCCCGTGCCAAACAGCCAAGCTCTGTGCCTCAGTTTCCCTATTTCTAAAGGGGGGGCAATGGTGACACCCCAATCTCCATCACCGTCAGCACTGGCACCCCCCAAAATCGTTGTGGGGACCCCCAAAATCGTTGTGAGGACCCCCAAAATCGCTGTGGGAACCCCTCAAAATCGCTGTGGGGACCCCAGCATGTCCCTGTGCTGGCACTTTGGGGAATCAGCCTCAGTGGGTTCATTCACTCCTCAGACACCCACAAAAAAATCTCACCTTCACCCCTGGTTTCTTTTTTTTTTTTTCTTTGCCAGTATTAGTTAATTAAACTATGCAAATGAAAGCAACTTAATTTCTGTAATACCAGGGCCAGAGCCTCAAACCACTGAGTGCAGCTCATCTGGCACGTACGTCACAGAAAATGTTTGGAGCAACTCTAATAAAAATGAAAAAGGCTGTAAATCAAGTTTAATTTATTCATTTTCTGTATGGTATGAAAGCATGCCAAAATCAGATTATTTATGAGCCCTTCATAACAATAGGCATTTTTATTGGTTGCAAATGACAAAAGGGGTTCTCAGAGGGATTTTTTTCTTCTTTTAAATTTTTTGAATGCCTCTTCAGAAACATTTATTTTTTTGGACTCTATGATCTCAAAGAAAAATATTTAATCATTGATACAGTAAAAATAATTTATATTTTGATAGTGAAAAACACATCAGTCTTTAAAACATAAACAGACAGAGCTAATCCAACCTAAAGGCTCAGGCAAATGCTACCCCACAGGTTAGAGGAAAAGGCTGTGATTTATTCCCACATCCTTACATTTCCCATTAAGAGCATAATCCCCTATAAGTCTTTCACAAAATGTCTGAGCCACTTGGGTTTGCCTTTGCTTTTCCATCCCCTTTGGTGGGCTGGGGGTGCACACCTGCTCTGTACACACAGTGCCCACACTCTCACCTCGAGGTGACTTTCTGTGCCCAGCC